TTGTTGTCAGGACTGGGGAAAGGCAGGGGAATGCTACTGGCTTGTATGTGGTAAAGGGCAGGGATGCTGCTAAACGTCCCATAATGAACAAGACAGCCCCCACATCCACACAACCAAGGATTATCAATCCCTAAATGTCAGTAGCGCTGAGGTCAAGAAACCCCAGCCTAAACTAGCCGTAGCGATTGTGTTCCCATCTGCTAGAGGCTGGTTTCGGATGGGTGCATCTGGACCAGTTCTGGGCAATGAGATATAAGAAACACCTACTGGAGGGGCGCCTGGGTGGCGCAGTCGGTTAAGCGTCCGACTTCAGCCAGGTCACGATCTCACGGTCCGGGAGTTCGAGCCCCGCGTCAGGCTCTGGGCTGATGGCTCAGAGCCTGGAGCCTGTTTCCGATTCTGTGTCTCCCTCTCTCTCTGCCCCTCCCCCGTTCATGCTCTGTCTCTCTCTGTCGCAAAAATAAATAAACGTTGAAAAAAAAAATTAAAAAAAAAAAAAAAGAAACACCTACTGGAAAATACTTCTTCTCCTTGATAGAAACAAAGACAAATTCAAGGGCAGCCTTCCCATGACGTCCTGGTTTGGGCTGCTACACGACCCTATTGCTAAGCCACTTTGGGGGTCGGGTAATGTTATTTGGAGTCCAAAGCATCCTTCCTTGTGAACAAACCACTTCTCCATCAGGGCAGTCAGATCCCAGAATCACGCGGTTTGGAGTCATTACAAATACGTGCTTTCTGATATACACCAGACTCTCCATGCTACCCGGAATTTGTTCTTCCTGTCCGTAGTCCGCTTCCCCCCAAGAAAAGCTGTAGCTCTTCACTTCCTTCCTCTGCCCCCATCACCTTTCCCCTTACATGAGGCAGGAGACCTTGTCGACTCCTTCAGAGGTAACAAACACCAGCTGACAGGAACTACCCCAGCTTCCTGACGTCCTTTACAAATACATCCACATCCATGCCTACCCTTGCTTCCTCCCTCACTGGTGCCCTTCGTCCCTTCTTCCTTTCTTCCACAACAGCACAGGGATCCCTCCTCTGGTTCAAGGCTAACCCCTCCCTCTGTGCTTTGCTTATCCCCTCCGGCCTCTCTGGGGACTTTTCTCCACTGATATCTCCTCTCTCTGTCTTGAGTCTCCCACCTCTCCGACCTCCTGTCTCCTGGCTCTTCCCCCAGCGGTATTTAAATAGACTAAAGGGGCCGCTGGGTGGTTCAGTCGGTTAAAGCATCCAACCGTTGGTTTCAGCTCAGGTCGTGATCGCGCAGTTGAGGAGTTTGCGCCCCACATCGGGCTCTGTGCTGACGGTGTGGAATCTGCTTGGGATTCTCTCTCTCTCCCTCTTTCTCTCTGCACCACCCCCCCCCACTCTCTCTTTCTCAAAATAAATAAATAAGCTTTAATAAAGAAAGAAACTAAAAAGAGGTTAGCAAACTTTTTCTGCCAATGGCCAAATAACAAATATTTTAGACTTTTCAGGATCTGTGTGTGTGTGTGTGTTTATTAGAAATATAAAAACCATTTCTAACTCACTGGCCATACAAAAATCAGGCTGCACTCAGGATTTGACAGCGCCCCCCCCCCCAAGCTATAATTTGCTGGCCCTTGTGCTAAAGGAAGAGAAATGGTAGAATCTAGGAAAATGGCCACTTGTACATTTCTCAACTCCTCTCCATCCCCTACACTAATATATCTGCTTCTTTAAACCCAGAGTCTGCTGGGACCAATGGCATCTGGGTAGAGATGAGGGTGATGTCTCCAGGGGAATCCCCAAAGGGAAATCTGGGGGTGAAATGTCTCCCCCATGCACCAGGTGGAGAGTCCCAAGATAAGCCGAAGAGCACTCCAGGCTGAAGATCAGACACTGCCCATCCCAGGAAGAGTCTGGCCCACAGGGGTCCAGGGATAGGCCCGCATCACTCCCATGTGTGTGTGTCTGTGTGTGTGTATGTGTGTGTGTGTGAGATCCCTCTGGCCCCCAAGAACTCCAAGAGGAACCCTGCTCCTGAATCTAGGAGGAAGCAGAGACCGGGGAACAAGGAGGTGTCTCTGCTTACCTGCCTGGTGTGCACATGCACCTCTTGGGGCAAAGAATCCGCCTCCTCCCATCGCTTGGGAAACTGCCCCAACCCCTGCTTAGAGTTCTCAGCCCCCAGGTCTGAGCCCCAAGAAGAAATGACAACACTGACAGGTCCTGGCAGCTGCAAAGAGGATGGTCTGATGTAACTGATGCCCTCCCAACAGACCTGCTGGGGTAGACAGACAACTTAACACGAGAATAATTCCAATAAGAACTGAACACAATCAAATAAGAATGTAAGGAGATTCTAGTACAGAACCAAAATGCCCTTTGGAACTAAATAAAAATGGGACAAATGAACAAGAGACTTTTCTGGATCAACGAGAGGAGAGTGCGGTCACTGTCAAGAGCCAAATTAGTGGCTTAGAAGAACACGTGGAAGAAATATCTCAAAGCACAGATCAAAATGCCAATTGATGAAAATTGCGAAGGAGAAGAATTAGCCTGAGATGCCCAGGAGATCTGACATGGGAATGATAGGGGGTTTTGGAAGAGTAGGGGGGAGGCATTCAGGTCCATTCGATGTAATTAAAAAAAAAAAAAATCCTCTCTGCTGCATTAACTTCTCTCTCTCTCTCCCTTTCTCTCTCTCCACCCAACATTCTAGAAAAGTTGCTTACGCTCTGTTATCCCCACTTCCTGCCGCCCCCTCACTGCTCAACCACTGCAGTCTGATTTCTGCCTCCAACACACCCAAGAACGGCTCGATGTCCCAAATGCTTCCTCTGTGCTAAGGATGGAGACTTCCCAATCTTTTCTGACTTGACCTTTGGGTCACCCTTAATTGCACAGGTCTTCTTTTCTTTTTCTTTTTCATAATCAAGTATCTCAATTTCGTCCAGCTTTATTGAGGTATAATTAACACATAAAAATTGTCCATGATGGTTTGATCTACGTAAAGTGTCCATGATGGTTTGATCGACATGTGCATTGTCCCCTTTGCTTCTTATGCTCTGTCTTCTTGGCTTCTCTGGCACGATCGTCCTATAAGAGTGGTCAACTCATCCCAGTTTGCCCAGTACTTTCCCTGCGTTAGCACTGAGCATCCCACATCCCAGAAACCCCTCCAGCCCAGGCAAGCCAGAACCACACCACAGGCTTGTCTTCTCCTGTCCCAGAGTGTCTCGATTTGGATTCCCCCAAGAGCAAACTCTGAGACAAGGATTCAAACATAAGTACTTTATTTTGGAGGTGATCCCAGGAAACACCAGCAGGAATGTGAAGACGGGAGTCAGAGAAAGAAAGGCGGCCAGTCCAAGCTGTGTTCAAAGATGTGTTATCGAGTCTCTGTAAATAAATAAACTTGAAAGTTTTCTTAATTAAAACAAAAATAAATGTGTCCATAAGCATTATTTTCTTCCTCAGCTCTAGGTAATAATAACTCTATCTTTCCTGTTCCTTTAGTTGAAAATTTTGGAGTAATTCTTTTCTCCTTCTCTCACACCCCACATTCACTCCATCCGCAAATCCCATTAGTTTTCTCTTCAGAATAGATTAATTTTCTTCCTACCCTTCCTCTCACCCGCATTTTCATCATAGCCCCAGGAGAGCCGCACAGGTTATTATCAACAGACCCAGAACTCAATTCCTAGTGTCCTGCCTCAGCCCAGGATGTCTGTTCCATCACACCACACTGTTCCCTTCCCATGACTGCCAGCTGAGACAAGAGCTACAAGGTTGGGGTCTCAGGGATAATTCGAGTTCACAGACCCTTGAAAGGTGGCAGGTGCTGCAGAAAGAGATCAACCATTGGAGGCACAGACTGAGTCCAAATATGAGCTGTGCCACTAGATGACAATGGACAAGCCTCAGTTTCCCCAGCTATAAAATGGGGCTGGTAGTTGTTCCAACTTCACAGAGTCGTTGTGTCTGTCTAGCACACAGTACATGCTTGATAAACGGTGAGTTTTGTTATTTTTATGCACCAAAAATGCCCAGCCTTTGCTCCCTTACGCCCAAAGTGGTAAAGGGGACCTCCTTCACACTTATCTCTCTACCTAAAACTAGACAATCATGAGAGGTGTGGGAGGGAGATAGGTTTGAGTCAGCCCCACTGTGGAACACCCCAGCATGACCCAAAGATGTGACCACAGCCCCTGCTTCTCCATTTTTCAACAGATTGCAGGAGACTCACATTTCCTCTTCTGAGATGCAGGAACTTCCCCTGACCCCAGATAAACAGTCACTTGGACCAACGGCCCCCTGGGGTTGGATACCCACCCACGCTATAGTCTATGGGCTGTAGGGGGGGCCGGTTTCAGTCCTGGTGAGTTGGGGACAGGTGTAGACGGGGGAGGAGACAAGGAGAGAGGGGGGCTGGAAGGGAAGTGAACGCTAACCTCCCCTACTGCCCCTCTGCCCAGAGCCTCCTTGCCTCGATCCCCTGCTGTCAGTCAACACGAGGATTCAGCTACTCACCAAGGGTAGTTGTTGATCAAGCAATTGATCAGTTTGGAGAATGCCCACGTCCCTTTGGATACAACTGGGGGATTGTCCAAAGGGTCTGCCCTGTTGCGTTGTGTTCAGCTGTGGGTAGTACCAGCCTCCCCTCGAGGGTGTTTCTGATGGTCAGAACCACTGGGCGGAGCACCGGTCCATTAGAGGGTATTGCAGGCTGTCCTGCTCTCCCCCAGAATTCACGTGTTCAAGTGCCAACCCCCAGGACGTCGGAATGTGACTGTATTTGAAGAGGTAATTCATGAAAACGAAGTCATTGCAAGGGGCCCTGATCCAATATGACCTATGTCTCCATAAGAAGAAGAGATTAGGACACAGATACTCACAAGAACAAGTCCATGTGGAGACACGGGGAGCCGAGAGCCAGATACAACTCAAGGAGAGACACCTCCCCAGAAACCAACGACTTCGACCCGCCAGTCTTAGACTTCAGCCTCCAGAACGAGGAGACAGTAAACTTCTCGCATTTAAGCCAGTCTACGATGCTTTATTGTGGAACACACCCTCCCCCACAGCAGACCGTCACCTTGGGCAAGGGCCACACGTCGAACTGACATTTTGCGAAGCTCTCACACGGCAAGAGCTAATAGTCCGGGAAGGTCCACGGCAAGTAAAAGTGAATCATTCATCGAAGATCTTTACAAACCACCAACAGCCTAAAGGCATGAGCAGGCATAGGTAGCCACCGCCGCTGTCCTGTCCTAGGTCAGGCAAACCTCACCTGGGACATTGAGAAAGTTGCTTTGTCAAGAACAATTTTTCCCCACCTGCTTTCCCAGAAGCTGTTCCACATCAGGTAGACAGTAAGGGAGCCCTGGGCCAGCACCCCAGGGTTCAGAAGAGCCAGGGAGTTTTCCGCGCCAGCTCAGTCATTATCAGACCCGGAGCCCCCCGCGGCCAGGATTGCTTGCGCGGAGCCGGGAGCAAGGACTTGGGGAGTTTCCTCCACCCCAGAGCTGGGAGACAATGTCTAAGACCTGGTCTCCTGCCAGCTCGCCACCTGCTACAGACTGAATTGTGCGCCCCCCGCCCAATTCGTATCTTAAACCCTAACCCTCAATGTGATGGTTCAAGGCGATAGGGCCTTTGGGAGGCGATCAGGTCATAAGGGGGGAACTCTTTGTTCCTTATAACAGGAACCCCAGAGAGTTCTCCCCCCTTGCAGCATAACAGAACACAGCAAGACGGCCCTCTGCGAATCAGAAAGTGGGCCCTCACCAAGCATTGCACTTTCACCTTGGACTTCCTGGCTTCCAGAAATTCAACAAGTAAATCTCTACTGCCTGTAAGCCATCCAGTTTCCAGTGTTCTGGTACAGCGGCCTGAATAGACTAGGACATCATCCAATTGCACAAGCCCTCTAGTCGCCAGAGAATTGCTCTCACTTGCACCCAAGGGGACTGGCTCCATCCAAGCTGCTGGTTCCGTCGTAGGTCCATCCATGTTGGTTCACAGACTGGCAGAGTCTTCCGTGGAAGGGCGGGAGGTTCTCATCCCCAAGAGCCGAGGGGCACTCGAGTAGGGACCCCCCCCACCCTCAGCCGTGGGGTTCAACAGGAACATTTCCGCTCACAAATCCAGTAGGTCGTTTTGTCACAAGAGAGGTCATTCCAGGTGCCACCTTTGTTCATGCTGGCACAGTCCTCATCGTTGATGTTGTTGGGCTCCTCTGGGTCCCAAAAGCTGCAGAGAGGAAAAGCAGGCATTGGGGAGGGATGAACAGGTGGGGCACAGGGGATTTTTTTCAGGGCACTCTATGCGATACTGCGACGGCGGATACGTGACAACATACACACGTCAAAACCCACAGAATGCACAACACTTGGAGCGAAGCCTAATGGGAACCGAGGACTTCAACTCATCATAATGTATCTATATTGGTTCATCGTCTGTAACAAACGTGCCACCCCAAAAATGCAAGATGGTAATGACAGAGGAAACTGTGTACCTTCTGCTCAATTGTTTGGCAAAAAAGAAAGTCTGTTAATTAAAGAAAGAATATCAGGGAGTCGGGGGGAGGGGGGAGGAAAGGCCCTCACGGTTCAAGGCTCTTTCTTGCATCCTAGCCATTTCTTCAGCTTTCCAGAATTACCTGAAGCCACCACGTTGTCCCCTTCACCCCCACCTTGTCTGTCTTAATTCAGCCCCGCCTCCCCGTTCACCAGGACGGTCTCCTGCTCCTGAGTCCGTTTCCTACATCTGGTCAGTTTCTGCCTCTTACAAAGAACGCTTCTTGGAATCCTTCCAACCTCCCAGGTATTGTAGTATCTCAAGTCTCTTCCATTAAGGCACAGCCTGATTTGGCAATTCGGGTGCATGGGATTTACTAAGGGATGCTCTCAGGAGAGGAGTGCGAGAAGCAGAATGGTGCGGGGGAGACCTTGAGCCCGGATGTGGGTTCAGCCTGATCTTGCCTCAGCCTGATCCAAGAGGGAGCTCTGGAGTGTGAACAGCACCACAGAGTTCTCTCGACTTGTGACAAAGGGTCCCGGCTTCTCTTAGCCACTCGTTGGCTGTGGGCTGAAGTAACCTCCTAGGGAAGCTGGCCTCCATTCAGCTGAGGACAACTCTCTAGAGAAAGCACATCCGTGAGCCTTTAGCAGTCAGTTCCCTCTGCCGGGGGAGGGCTGCACGAGCCCCATGAGGGGGTCTCAGCTGGGCCCTCACAGCACCCCACTATGCCATGTCTTTGCTATTTATAGAGCGGTGCCCTCCTCCAGGAATCTTTAACAAAAAATGAGAACCCCTGTCAGGACACTAATATTTCTAATATATAAAGAGCTCTTAGAAATAAAGAAGAAGGGGCACCTGGGTGGCTCAGTCGGTTAGGCTTCCGACTTTGGCTCAGGTCATGATCTCACAGTTCATGGGTTCGAGCCCTGCATCGGACTCTGTGGGCTCTCTGCTGACAGCCTGGAGCCTGGAGCCTGCTTTAAATTCTATGTCTCCCTCTCTCTCTGTCTCTCCCCTGCTCATGCTCTCCCAAAAATAAACATTGAAAGAAAGAAAGAAAGAAAGAAAGAAAGAAAGAGAAAGAAAGGAAGGAAGAAGGAAAGAAGAAAGAAAGAAAGAAGAAAAAAACTAAAATCCCAGTGTAAAAATATACCAATGATATAATAAACACTTCACAGAAAAGTTAATACCTGTGTCTATTAAACATGTGAGAAGATACCCAGGAGCACCTGGGGGGCCCAGTCGGTGAAGCGTCCAACTCGATTTCAGCTCAGGTCATGATCTCATGGCTTGTGGGTCCGAGCCCCACATCGAGCTCTGCATTGGCAGCACGAGCCTACTTGGGATTCTCTCTCTCTCCCTCTCTCTGCCCCGCTTCTGCTCCCCTGCTCGCGCTCTCTCTCAAAATAAACTTTAAAAAACATATAAATAATTTAAAAAATAACATAGCCAACTCCAGTCATTATAAGAGAATGCAAATTAATACTAAAAAAAAAAAAAAGATTAAATCAATGGGTTAATATATGTAGAGTGCAGAGGGACAGAGAGCTAGAGATAGAGAGATCCTGCTCATCCAAAAGGATGAAGCTTTTGGAAGCTGCCTCTTCCTCCCACCCTATGACCACTCCTCCTTCCCTCCACCGCCCCCCCCCCCCACCACCACTGGCCTGAGGACCTGACCTTATAGTTGTGCTAAAAAGCAAAGATGTTGCAATGGAGAAAAATGTTTCATCTTTTTAAAGGTTTATTCACTTTTCAGAGACAGAGAGAGACAAAGCGTGAGTGGAAAGGGGGCAGAGAGAGAGGGAGACACAGAATCGGAAGCAGGCTCCAGGCTCTGAGCCGTCAGCACAGAGCCCGACACGGGGCTCGAACTCACGGAGTGTGAGATCACGACCTGAGCCACCCAGGCTCCCTGCAATGGAGAAAAATTTTAAAGGTACAGGGACCAGATTCCCTGTGAGCAAAAAAGCACCCTTGGGCCTCCTTTACCCAGCCTGGCCTGGGGTTCTACACAATCTTCTGACTTGGACTGCACAAAGACCATGGCGGGCAGAGACCCCAAGGGCCCTCAATACTTGCCTCAGAGTGACAGGTGAGCCATCCAGCCACTTCCAGTCCCCTTCATGGTCCCTGTCACTCAGTCCCAGCCAGTAGATCCGTGGAGAGCCATGAGCCTTGGCCACAAACTTCTGCAAGTACAAACTCCATTCAGCCATCAGCTTAATTACATCAAATGTAAGTGGTCTAAAAACACCCATTAAGAGCCAGAAATTGTCAGGCTGAATTTAATTTTTTTTTTTACATTTATTTATTTTTGGGACAGAGAGAGACAGAGCATGAACGGGGGAGGGGCAGAGAGAGAGGGAGACACAGAATCGGAAACAGGCTCCAGGCTCTGAGCCATCAGCCCAGAGCCCGACGCGGGGCTCGAACTCACGGACCGCGAGATCGTGACCTGGCTGAAGTCGGACGCTCAACCGACTGTGCCACCCAGGCGCCCCATTGTCAGACTGAATTTAAAAAACAAGATCCGGGGCGGCCGGGCGGCTCAGTCGGTTGAGCGTCCACCTTCAGCTCAGGACATGATCTCACAATTTGTGAGTTCGAGCCCCGCATTGGGCTCACTGCTGTCAGCCCAGAGCCTGCTTCAGATCCTCTGTCTCTCTCTCTCTCTCTCTCTCTCTGTCTCTGCCCTTCCCTCGCTCGCACACTCTCTCTCAAAAATAAAGAACAGTTAAAAAAAAAAAAAGACCCAACTGTATGTTGTCTACAAGAAATCTGCTTGAAAATAATGACACAGGTAAAGGATGGAAAAAGACCATGCAGACCCCCGGGCTCAAATCCCAGCTCTGACACTTGCTAGCTGTCCATGGCCACGGGCAAGTCTCTTAAACGTACGGTGCCTCAGTTTCCCCATCTGCCAAGTACAAGCAATGTCTACCGTGTGCAAATGGTTTTTGCACTCTAACCGTCGTAGCACCAAATCATCGCAGGTGCTTACGAAAAGCCAGTTTTCCTTCGCCGGTGAAACTGCTTTCCTACCACCTCAAAGCGCAGCAGGACCCACGCGTCCCTCATCGAGCTACGGGGACGGTTCCTTGGGCATCACGTGACCCCTCCTGACTCGCACGCTAATTCACAAGGTTGTTGTGAGGACGTTAATGTAAGACGCGAGGTGTTTGGAACACAGCCTGGAGAACACAAGGAATATAATAGCCGTGACGATATCTCCAGGTTAGAGACTTGGGATTTGAACCCAAGGAGAGCCTGTCCTCTTAACCTTGTTGTTTAAAGCCTTAGCAGCGGGGGCGCCTGGGTGGCTCAGTCGGTTGGGCTGCCAACTACAGCTCAGGTCACGATCTCGAGGCCCGAGGGTTCAAGCCCCGCATGGGGCTCTGTGCTGACAGCCCGGAGCCTGCTTCGGGTTCTGTGTCTCCCTCTCTCTCTGCCCCTTCCCTGCTTGCTCTCTGTCTCTCTCCCTCTCTCTCTGCCCCTTCCCTGCTTGCTCTCTGTCTCTCTCTCTCTCAAAGGTAATAAACAATTTAAAAAAAGTTTTAGTGGCTAAGAGCATCTAGGCGACTCAGTCGACTAAGCATCTAACTCTTGAATTTGGTGCTCGCTTCGGCAGCACATATACTAACTCTTGAATTTGGCTCAGGTCATGGTCTCATGGTTCGTGGGATCAAGCCCCACGTCAGGCTCTGTTCTGACATTGCTTGAGATTCTCTCTGCCCCTCCTCTGCTCTCTCTCTCTCTCTCTCTCTCTCTCTCTCAAAATAAATAAATTAAACATTTTAAAAAAAGAAAAAGTCTTAGTGGCTCAAAAGCACTTCCAATTTCTCTCCATCCAGGAAGGATATGTGAAACCTGCTGGCTCTTGAGGGCTTGGAGGGGATAGCTCACCTGTTCGGCAAAGCTACTGATGATGACCAAGTGAGAGTAATTCTCCTGACAGAACTTCCGGGCTTCATCCCATGACTTGGTCCTTGGGGAGAAGTAGTAACACTTGCCCTCAAAGGGGAGCCAGCCCTCAGGGCAGGTGATCCTGGTACAGTCTAGGGACAGAATAGTATGCTCTCAGCATGGCCCCAGAGCCGGGGTCATGTACACGGTGTGCCATACACAATTGTGCGGGTTGCGCACTGCTCATCTCCAAGGGGCATCGTTCGGGTTAACTGCACTGAGAATCACCCCCCTGGGGATTTGTGCGACATGCCAGCACAGTCATGTCCCCCATCTCAGGGCAGTTCCCCAAGTCCCACTCACCTAATAAGCCCCGAAGTTCTACCAGGGACTGGTTGGTGTTAGTTCTTATGTGGTCAATATCCTTCTTCAGGCCAGCCAGCCCTGCCGTGCCAGTCACTGTCAGCAAGGATGGGCTGGAAGGTTAGTAACGCAAACCCCCATCTACCCATCCACCCAGCGCTGACTGCAAACACCAGAAAGAAGCGAGACCCACGCTCCTCACTGCACCCTCTTTCTAGCGGGTGGTGCTAGAACTCAAAACTGACGTGCTCAGTGCCCAGAGAGAGTCCTAGAGTGGCTCAGAGGAGGGACTGAGCCCTGGGGCTTGGGGAAGAGTGGGGATGGTGGACTTCCTGGAGGAGGTGGATTTTGCAGGAAGATAGTGACTCAGTATCCGCGAGAGAGAGGGAGGGAGGCTCAGCAGGCCGGGGCCACCTTTACAGAAGCAGACATGTTGGGGCAGGCCGCAGCGGTAGAGGTCAAGGTGAACCTCACAGGAGCCAGAGCTCAAAGCAGGGTGAGGGCCAATGTCCAGGTCCTCGAGTGTTAAGCCTGGAGTTTCACCTTGGACTCTGGGCAGTGAGACGCCACCAGTGGGTTTCGAGCAGAAGAGTGGCTCGAATGCAACATGCGACAATTGTTGGGCTTCAGCAAACATGGCGAAGGCCGTGCTAGCCCAGGAGATTCTTCTACAACTAAGTATTCCCACTGCTCCCACGCCAGACTTGCCCACTTCCAGCTGGACACCCTTCCGTCTCTCTACCCACTAAAGCTTTTCTACTCCACCCACCTCTCTCCACCCTCATCCAAGCCACCATCACCTCTCACCCGTCCAACTGCCCCGTACTCCTCCCTTGTACTTACGACATTGCCTCCTGCCACAGGGCCTTTGCACACACCTGAAGCCCTCCACCCCTCACGTGGTTGTTTCCCTTCCCTCACTCAGCTACAGCACTCTTTCCCTAGGAAAGCCCTATATGACCTTCCCAAAGATAAGGTCAAAGATCCCTTATTATATTTTTTTTCGTAGAATCAGCATCCTTTGGACAATTCGCTGAAATTTGGGATTTTATACTTATTTGGGTGATAATTTGGTAAACGCTTCATAATACCTGTGCTGTCCAACAGAAGTAGAATATAAACCACATACATAATTTTGAATTTTCGAATGGCCCCATTTAAAAAAAATTTTTTTAATGTTTATTCATTCTTGAGGGAGAAAGAGACAGAGCACTAGCTGAGGAGAGGCAGAGAGAGAGGGAGACACAGAATCCAAAGCAGGCTTCAGGGGTACGCAGGGCTTGCACCCACGAACCGCGAGATCATGGCCTGAGCCGAGGTCAGGCACTTAACCGACTGAGCCACCCAGGCGTCCCTAATGGCCCCATTTTTTAAAAGTCAGAAGGAAGCAGGCAAAAATAATTTGAGTGTTATTTTTTTTACTTATGCCAATGTATCCAAAATATTTTAATGGGTAACCAGTATTAAAGATTATTCTTCTTGATATTGTTGAGATATTTTACATTCTTTTTTTTTTTTTTTTTTTGGAGCAAGTATTTGACATTGGTGTGTGTTTTACACTCACAGGCCATCTCCGTTCAGAATGACCACACTGCAAGTGTCCCATAGCCACAGTGTCCAATAGCCTACTTGTCCCATAGCCACAGTGGCTCATGGCCGCCATATTGGACAGTGGCGATCTAGACGCACACATGCACGTAAACACACGCTCACGCACACGCTGTGCAAGGACAGGAACGGTGCCTGATGTGCTCCCTACCCCACCCGTCCCCTGATACCTACACAATTCCCGGCAAAGGCAGGATCAGAAGTGGCCTTGGGGTCGCATTTGAGGGGTCATGTTGGGCGTTCGGTATGCATAACATGAAGGGAACAAAGCACTCACCACTTGCTTGCCATGCCGTCTGCTGAAAGGTCAACATTCTCAGCTCTCCCACCACCTCCTGGTCTATGAGGAAGAGTCCATCTTGAGCCCAGGCCCTCCCACGCGCCATGCTCAGCGTCTCCCCAGGCCCCATCCCCTTCCTACTCACACTTGATAAGGGTCACAGCCAGACCAGTGCAGCCCAGGAGCAGTGACACCACCACCAGCAGGCACAGGAACACCACCAGTCTCTCCTCCTGGTAGCACCCAGGACATCTGGACTTCTGACTGAGCTGGGACCCCGGGGTGGCTGGGGGAAGAGAGTGGGGACACAGAGACCAGTGCTGGTGCTTCATAGAGTGAGGAAGAGACACTCGAGCCTCTCTCCAAGAGCGGGGAGACAGAGATCCGTGGTCATGACTGGCTCACCAGAGGGCGTCGGCGAGAGAGGGTCAGGGGAAGAGAACCCTGAAGGAGCCCATAAGAGCACATGCTGTGCTTCAGGGCCATCGCTTCCCCAAACGGAGCCCCCTCCCCATCTCCAAGTGAAGCCCCACCCCCATCCCATCTCCATTTTCAAATCCAACACCATCACCGCAACCTAACACGACTACAACATAACCCAGAACACGGGAGAGAACGTGCCGTGTGCCAAAGCATCCTGTCACACCCTTGTTACTGGATCCTCACCCTTATCACGTAGATGTCACTATTATTCTCGGTTTGCAAGTAAGTAAACGGAAGGCTTGGCAAGGAGGTGCATGAGTTGGACCCAGCGCAGCTCCTAACGTTTGCGATGCATTACCCTATACTCTCCAGCAGCCCCTGCCCAAGCTGCTCCCCCCTTCTAGGAAGCTTATGGACCTTTGCATCAGGGGCAGAGAATGTTTCCCGTGCTTTATGCAAGTAGGAGGTGGGGCCTGAGGAGAATCAGGCAGAGACCCTGGGTCCCTCGAGTCTGGTTTAGACTCAGGGAGGAGGACCTTCTGAAAGGAGACACTTCTCTGCCCCAGGGTCTCCCTCTGGAGCTATAGGTCTGACTCAAGGATACTTGCTACCATGAGAGGGAAGAGAGGAGCACACCTGGGGGGCATGTGGACTTACCAGCCAGGGACGGCTGGAACGGAGGGCATTCGGGATTGACACCTGGGAGAAAGGGAGAGAAGCGTTTATTCGCAAGTTGCTGCAAAACTCTACATCCCAAGATCAACACCTCCCCCATCCCATCCGATTTGTTCTCTAGGGAACTGGAGGGCTTCCCGGTGTCCCCTCGCAGGCTTCTGACAGGCTCTCCCCACCGCTCACCCAGTGGAGGAGATGTGCAGATGACAGGGGTGAGGTCCGGGCCTGGAAGGGTCCAGAAAGACAGTGGTTATGCAGACAAGGACTTCAGCCAGATAAACTGAACGGTCCCCGCCCCCGATTCTCACCTTTGGTCTTTGGGGACTTGCAAGGCAGTGGGGGGTTCTCTGTTTTCTTTCCTGGGGGCGGGGGGTGGGAGGGGTCGGAGGGAAAGGAATGGTTAGGCCCAGAGCACCACAAAGGCAGCCCTGAGTTTCCTGTACCCCCAACCCCAGCTCACCTGCCCTCGGAGGCCTAGGTGGGGCCATCGAGTCTGTAGAAGAGAAGTTCAGAGTTAGAGCCGGTGTGAGGCCCGGAAAAAGATCAGAAGCAGTGATGGAGCCAGGGCCGAGGCTCAGGTGGAGGGTGAGGGACAGGGTTGAGCATGAGAATGGAATCGGGGTTGAGCTAGAGCGACCAGCCATCCTGGATCGCCCGGGACTTGCCCAGTTTTAAACCTCAAAGTCCCACGTTCCAGGAAATCACTCAGCCCTGGGAAAAACTGGGGCAGTTGTTCGCCCTCAGTTAAAGACACAGCTGAGTCCGGGCTAAGGCTGGAGTCACGGGTGTGGCTGGGCTGAGGATGGGGTGGGGGGGCGGTGAGGGACACGGGAGCAGGGTTCCGGTGCGGGATGTGGTCCGCATGAAGGGTGGGACTGTCACTGCACCAGGGGATCGGGAGGAAACCCCGTTTAGGTCGTGGTTCTGTGGAAGAAAGGGGGACGACTGCGGCTTTGGGAATAAAGCTGGAAATCGGACTGCAATCGGAAATGGGGAAGGGGCTGACTTCGGGGAAGGGGCAGCACCGAAGATGGAATGGGTGGGGTCCGTGTTGGAGGGGGGCTTGAGGATCGTGTCGAGACCAAGTGGGAGCTGGGAGCCGACCCGCCGCAGAGCCCAGGGCCCCTCCTGCCTCATTCGGAGCCCCGGGCACCTCCCGGGTCGGCCTCTCACTGGACTAAGAAGCGGAGGGCGCAGCGCCCCGCCCTACAGGGACCGGCCGCGGTCCAAGGACACCAGCACAGCGCAGTCGACCCTCAGGGGAGCCTCGAAGCCTTTTATACCCACTTAGCAGACTCTTGTCGAGACCCGGGCCAGGCACGGAGCCTAAAGGCAAATCTGGTCCCCAGAGTGTGGATGTGAGGAGGCTGGGAGTCGAGGGTCCACGCACTGCTTATGAAGCACCAGCCTTCGTGTCTCAGGACCTATGCACCCATCAGTTCTCTACCAGGCTCCTCTGCCTAACAAACTCCGGCTCATCCGTTAAGCCCCATCCCAATATCCCCCCTCTGACCCCAGTCTCCCCACCACTACAAGCGGAGCCCTCAATTCCCCCTGGAGATTTCCCCCGTTCTCACGGGCCATCCCTTCGTGGACCTGCTCACCGGGGGCTGTGCCCAGAACCGCCCCTCCCAGTGGACAGGGAGACCTTCCGGGGCAGGGCAGAGGCACAGAGACACCTGTCATCACGGCGTCTGGCTGGGCACACAGGAGGCTGACCGTGCGTCTACAACGCCCGGCTAATGCCCCCTGGCCGCTGCTTCCCTCGGGGCACAGGCCACACATTTTCTGCACCCGGCCTCTGAGGAGTCCTCTTACCTGGCTTGGGAGGGAGATCCTTGTAGGGGGGTGCCATGTTCTCGTAATCATCGCCATCCTCCTCCTCCTCTCTGGTCCCTTCCAGACGAGAGGCAAGTGAGAGCCCAGCCCATCCCCTCCTCTGTCCCTCGGGCCCTGGTTTCTAGCCGCAGGGTGGGGATGCCGTAATCTGGGTCCCGACCATCCCTGGCTGGCCTCCAGCTCCAGCCCGGCCAGGGTCATACCTGGCAGGTCCTGGCATCCAGAGTTGGTATACATGTGCACGGCCACGGCTAACACGAGAGCCTGAGAAGAGAGGCCCGGATGGTATCTGCCTCTGACGCCTCCTGCTCAGGTGCCTGAGGTTTCTCTCAGTTCCCTTTTTCATTAAAATTCAAGCACATGCAAATCCACCTTCGGGGGAACCACCCAAACCCCCCCCCCACACACACACGTGCGCGCGCACACACGCGCACACACACACACACACACACACAGACGCACACATCCTTCGCCCCAGTTTGGATTCACGCAGAGAAGTGGCAACGCCTGCATCTGAGCAGCAAGCCCTGGGTGGAAAAAATGGATAAGCTCCTTCCTTTGTGGAACTTCCCATCAAGACACAACAGACACTGAACTAGGAAATAAATATAGAAATAAGTGGTTCGGTTTTTTATTTTATTTCCAATAGTCACCGAGTATTATTAAAATAAAATCACGTAGGGGCGCCTGGGTGGCTGCGTCGGTCAAGCGTCCGGCTTCGGCTCAGGTCATGATCTCACGGTTCGTGGGTTCGAGCCCCGCGTCGGGCTCTGTGCTGAGCGTGGAGCCTACTTAGGACTCTCTCCTGGGGCACCCGGGTGGCTCAGTTGGTTAAACGTCCAACTTCAGCTCAGGTCATGATCTCACGGTTCGTGGGTTCAAACCCCACATCGGGCTCTGTGCTGACAGCTCAGAGCCTGGAGCCTGCTTCGGATTCTGTGTCTCCCTCTCTCTCTGCCCCCGCCTCCCACTCATGCTGTCTCTCTCTCTTTCTCAAAAATGTACAAACATTTAAAAAGTGACATAAAACAGGGGCACCTGGCTGGCTCAGTCAGAAGAGCATGAAGCTTTTGATCTCAGGGTCATGAGTTTGAGCCCCACGTGGGGAGCAGAGATCACTTAAATAAACTTTTTTTTTTTAATGACAATAAAATACAATAAAACAGAGGGATAGGATAGAGGCTAGTGTAGAGAGATAAAGAGAGAAGGCCTCCTGGAAGTGACAATTGTGACAAAATGCTAAAGTGATAGGTGCTAAGTACTCCCATGTTCCACAGCGAACATTCCATGTTCCACGTTCCGGGCTCAGTTATCTCTGGCTGCATCACAAATTACCCCAAAGCTTCATAAACGACAACAAGCATTTATTAGCTCGCAGTTTCCGTGGCGCTGAGTTCAAGAGCAGCTTGGCTGGGTGACTGGTTCTTTCCCGGGATCTCGCATATCCCGTCAAGAGGCTCCCTGGGGCCAAGGTCTCTGTGCTGAAGCTGGGAGATCTGCCTCCAAGATGGGGTGCTCTCTCCAAAGGGCCGATGGAGCGTCCTCCCAATGTGGCACCGGCCAGGGTGGAAGCCATGCCACCTTGGATGCTTTGGCCGCACAAGTCACAAGCTGTGACCGCTGCTGTCTTTTTTCACCCCGACCGGTTCCGAGTCGTTGCGGGAGGAGACGGCATGAGAGCGTGAACACTGAGACGTGAGGATCATCGGGGGCCATCCTGAAGGCTGGTCACCACCATCATATGCACAGAACTTGCAAAGGAAGGTTTTTCACCCTGAGCTTGACATGGACTGGAAGTTATTTAAAAAGTGAGAGTTGAAGAGAGAAGTCTGTCCACCTCATTGGTAAAGCAAGGGATGAGGTTTTGACTCCGATCCCAAACCAGGGACCTGTGGGAAGGGGCTGCAGGAGGGGTGGCCACATCTTTGGGTTCAGCACAGATGTGGGAGTTCCCTGAGAGCCAAGTGAAGACAGTGGGGTAACCAGGCTGGAGCTATTTGGAGCGCGCTGCCCAAGTGGGCAGCCTGCCTTGTGTTTCTCCAAAGGCCTGCCATCAGCCTTTGGGGCCAACGGCCTGAGAATCACCCATGACCCCTCTCTTCTCTCATTTCATGGCTCTGGCAAGTTGAATTTTCAAAAGATGGCTGCAACAGTATCTGTCTGTCCTACATGTGCTCATGCAACGTGACCTCGCCAGTCCGCGAAGGAGTCCCACACCCCCCTTGAATCTGGGACGGTGGCAGTGACTCTCTTCTGACCACAGAATGTGGTGTGACTGACAGCTGCCATGCAGCCTCCACCTGGCTGTGTCAGAACACGTGCTCCCTGCCGCCATGTTGCGAGGAAACCCAAGCCGTATGGAGGTGTTCGCTCAACACTCCCAGCTGAGGCCAGACTTCAAGCTGTCCCAGCCCAGGTGCCAGACATGCAAGTGAAGACACCTCCTGATGTTTCCAGCCCCCCGGGACAGTAGAGTCACTGTAGAGTAGATTCAACCTCCAGCCCATTGAATCTTCCTATCTGAGGCCCCGGACGTTGTGGAGCAGAAACCAGCTGTCCCTACCATGCCCTGTCCCCTAGAATCTGTGACTGTCACTGAAGGGACTCTTAGCCACTAAGTTTGGGCTGGTTTGTTAGATACTCTAGATATTGGAAATCTGGCCAAACTGTTAGTAATCCTGGGTGGCTGTACCTTCACAATATAACCAGCTTCTGAGCCGGTCTGACCTCCCAGTCTAAGCCGTCTGCTCGGATTACAGTAACTGCCTCCTTCTGGTCTGCCTGCCTTCTGCCCTTGCCCTCCATAGAGTAGAACTCACAGAAGCAGACAGGTGGTTGTCAGGGGCTGGAGGAGGCAAAAATTGGGTAGGTGTTGGTTAAGGGGAGCAGAGTTTCAGTTATGTAAGATAAATGAGTTCTGGGGAATCAGTGTACAATGATGGGACTATAATTGATGATGTTGTACTGTGTAGTTGAAATTTGCTATAAGGGTAGATCTTGGATCTTCTAGGAAGGAAGGAAGGAAGGAACGAAGGAAGGGAAAAAAAGAAAGAAAGAAAGAAAGAAAGAAAGAAAGAAAGAAAGAAAGAGGAAAGGAAGGAGGAAAGAAAGAAAGAAAAAGAAAGAAAGAAAGAAAGA